GTGGGGACGCCTGTTTGTCAGTTTAGGTGGGAGTCTTATCCTTCTTGCGTCCTCACAAGGTGGGAGTGTTAGGATTGGATTGTATTGGACGCTTTCAGCAGCCACAATAACCAAATAGGTACAAACAGTTTCGCATTTTTGGTAATTGTTCTACTGGATGTACTTTTCCTTAGTCTGTTGCTCTATACTAGCCTCCGGTTTGTGTCTGTGTCTGTGTCTGAGTCTCTGGGCATCTTTAGTGTCCTTCTGGTCTATCCCTGCCACGTCTAATATCATTGGTATCTGGAATTGATTGCAGGCTGTAGAAGGGCCAGAAAAATTGTGAAAAATGCGGGAAATCCATAATATATTCAGAGCTCTATAGCAAATCACGGAATATACAAGATGATCCTGAGAGGTCTAGTGAAATTCAAATGATACTTCAAGAAAGATAGGAATATTTGTGTCAGCTCTATGATATACAGTGTAAAATAGGGAGTATCTTATGCCCAGTAACCAGCCATGCACAGCATTGGCCCACTCCCCCCAAGTCCAAATGTGGTTATTATGCTCAAACTCATTTGGACTGAATATGTGGCAGATGTGGCAGGGATAGACCAGAAGGATGCCACAGATGTCTAGAGCCACAGACACTAACACAGGAACAAACCAGACACTACTATACAGCAAACGGACTGAGGAAAAGTACATCCAGTAGAACAATTACCAAAAATGCGAAACTATTTGTACCTATCTTGTCATTGTGCCCACTGAAAGTGTCCAGTACAATCCAATGCCAACAATTTGGACCAACATTTTTTCACGGTGAAAATGGCAAAACTCCTGCAGTGCACAGTGGGAATTATTGAGCTGAAAAATGTTAGTCAAAAGGGATATTGAAGAAATCATATTTGTTAATGCATTCCACCAACATTGATGAGAACCTCCTTTTTCCAGTGCTCAAAGGCAACCTAGAAGATTATCTTTGGCATGAGCTATTCACAATGAGAGGAGGGTTTGCAATATGTCACATTCCCTGTACATTTTCACTCTTTTCAAAATATTGCATTTTATCAGTTTAAAGCAGTGGTTTGCACGAGTTTAATCAACTCACTGCACTCACTCCACACATACCAATGGTGCAGCTGCTCCGCGCATATAAACCTGCTCAACACTGCATCAGTCGAACAGTACATCCCGTATTGCTCCACACGTACAATATGGTGTATCCCGGGCAGACCGCCTGGTGCATCCTTTGCCCTTCCTCTCACATCAGCAAAATGCGGATGTGATCAATGAAAGGCATAGCTACCTTGGGGGGACAACATATAAACTGGGCATTGGGCCGCTGAGGCCCTCACCAGTTTCTGCCACTGTCCTCCCAGGTAAGCATTGTCGCTATGCTTCCGTCAGCGCTGTCAGGCTGACCAGTTCCTGCCGCTGTCCTCCCAGGAGGAGTACAGATTTCAAGCTCCCACCCTTCTGCCACCCAATGTGTATCAAAACTGTTTGTACCAGTGCTGTGGTCACCATGTATTGTAATACAGCCCGAGATGCCTCCAATACATTGCACAAGCTGCTCCGACGCTGGGAGCAGTCATGTACTGGTAATCACTCACTCTGCTAGTGCCTCCCGTGGGGCAGAAGAGATGCTGGGGATAGCTATTTCCTGTCACTCAAGTGTTTGAAAATAGTATATTTGATCAGCAAATAAAGAAATATGAGAATATTAGGTATTACCTCATGCGGGAAGCTTGTGCCATAGGAAAGACTTATGCAGACCATTTTAAGGCTAGAAAATAGGTTGTATTTCGACGCTTCATAAATATAACCCACTCCATATGCCTTTCCACCAACATTTTTGCACCTCATAAATGAAGCAACTCCCGCAGTGTAGCAAATTCGCATGTACAGGGTGGGCAACAGTGATCATAAATGTGTCCAGTTAATCCTGCCACACACAGTACTTGAACTTTTATGATGGTGTATGTACCTCAGACCAAAAATCATCCCTTTTCCTCAAATTAGGGCACACAGCCAAATATGAACTCAATCCACACCATACGTAAAGCGACAAAGAATACATATACCAACTCTGGAAGAGTAGTCCAGGAGCAGCATCCAAAAGATAGCCAAACGAGACAACCAGGAGCATCAGTGTGAAGTTGAAAATACCAGCTTATCGCGTAACACCCGGTAGCGGTTGAGATAGTGCAGGCATTCGTTGATTTTCTCCCTAACCTTCTCAGTCGTGACAGAACAGGCAAGCTTTGCCTCTCGCAAAACATGGGCAACACTCTCCACTTGCTGTGGGGTGAGGTCGTACAGCTGGAAGCCGCGCAACAGGTCATCGACGACACCCTGAGGCGGATAGTCCGACGCTGGTCGGAAAGGGCGCCCGAGAACGAAAACAATGCCAAACTCGATGGCTTCCAATGCAACGCCCCGCTCAAGTTCTTCATTGATTTCGTGGAGGCGATCAAGCAGTAGACGCTGCGTCGCCTCGTCTTTGAGATAGATGGCCTTACTTGGAATGAGTACGTCAATGACTTCTTGTGGAGGGAGACCTTCCTGGGGATATGGCGATCTCCCAATGTCGACGAGATCTACGGGGCCTGTGAAGATAGACACGAAGAACAGGCCGTTAAATGACGTACCGCCCCATATCTGGAAGTCATAGCAGTAGCAGTAGATATCGTTACAGTCCACCTCTCTGTTGTGTGGGACTGACGGAAGCTTGCGTATCTCCATCGTGCATCCGCCTTTGTGCGGGGACACCCTGTCGAAGTCGATGATGCGGGGTTTCCCATCACGGAGCACGACATTGCGTTCTCGGAAATCTTGATGTACTACGCCACATCGATGAATTTCCTGAAGATATCGAAGGATAGTTATCCTGACGCGCTGATTATGGGTTATGCTGTGGCAGAATACTATTCGGCAGACGAACCTCGTGACCATAGGTAAGAACGGGAATATGATGTCTGGAGGATCACCGCAGTCCTCCAGAATCAGGCAGCCTAACGGGAAAGTGTCGTGCACCGCCTCAAAAAATCCATAGCAGATGGGGATCACAGTTCCTTGAAGGCGGAAGAGCTGCTTCTGATACAGGCTTGCCTCCCTCCGAAGGTCCTCGAGAGCCTGGACAGAGTGGGCAAATTTGAGAACCAGCAGCGCCCTAATGCCTTGGGTCTGTCCGCGGTAAACCGTCGTACGCGAGTTATGGTGGATTTCCTCAGTGGTGTCTATGTCGATAACGGCTGTGTCGGTGAATTGCCGACCTGTCATCTGAAGCTGCTCTGGCCTCCAGTATTCATCTTCATCGAAAGTAATTCGAAGTGTGGACATGGGCAAGTGAAAATTATGGACAGCGCTCATGGTGTAGTCCGTAAGGCGTCGTATCAATGTGTGGACACGTTCGAAGTTGAATGGACGCATCATAGTCACGTGATAACAAGGGCCCATTCCTAAGTTAGCAAGTCCAAATCATCATAACAATGGCCGGTTCTCACTCTTTTGTGGGTTCCATACGAGACGGTAATGGTAAATGAGCTCCTTGTGAAACTCTCATTGTCCTTCTCTTTTGGGGCCCCGAGTTGGTTATAGTCAGCCGATGTGGACACCGACTCAACGAGTATCGTCCCAGGATGTCTGATCAATCCAGCGCCCAACAACCTAGCTTTCTTAGCGATGTTTTCAAGCTACCCCTCCCAGATCTTCCTGAGATGCGGAGTGCCAAAACATCCTCGTCCACTAAAGGTCCAACGGACGCACAAAGAACAATGCTAGAGCGCAAGCAGCTACGGTGGGTCATATATGACGAAGACTTGGCTGAACGGGTGGCCCAGAAAGCCGACGCGATAGCGGCAAAAGTCGAGATTGACGAACGCGACGACACTCTGCGGACTAGCTGGCGTGGAAGAGTGTATCCACCGCATACATCAACTCTTCTGACTCGCATGGTTAACAGTGAAGAGGACGCTCGGGAATGGATCCATCAGGTCCTCGTTCATCCAGCACTGGCCTGTGTTAGAGCCACGCGAGGCAATGGAATCGGTGGTATAGTGGGCGAGCAGCTGTATATTGCTTCTTCGCCAGCCGAGGAGGCGAAAGCCATTGCCGATGGCCTCTTCTACACTGACCGGTTCAGTAAGAAGCGGGTGCTCTGCTTCGAATATAAAACCCCAAACTCCCTAATACCTCGTCAGTTCGATAAAATTCAGAAAAACCCATATATTGCTGACGGTGCATTGAGTAATGCTGGTAAAAGAGCTGCGCGATTCTTGTGGCCTGGGCCGGATGCAGAAAGAATCCATCATGATACGAAGCTTTTGGTCCAAGTACGTTAACCTCTTGCGACCCTTTCGATATGCTCTCGCTTGAAGGCTGATATATCTTCCAAGGTGTGGACGGAGATGCTTGACAACAACGTACAGCATGCAGTTCTCACAAGTTATGAAACCACGTTGTTTTTCTACCGCCCGCTTGAAGATTTGAACACACTCTTCATGTCCAAGTCTTATCGAATTGAAGCCGGAATGCAAAATGACCCTACTCTGCGGGCCATCTATGCATGGATGCTGTCCGCTTTGGGCAGTCTTGACGTCGAACTGCCAAGGGTAGACGCAGACTGGAAGACAAGACTCACCACCTATCTCAAGGAGCATCCAGAAGAAGATACTGTGAGACACGGGGTTGATGTCGGGTATGCTCAGAACGCGAGTAAATGGGATGCTTCCTGGAGCTAACCTCCCATGCAGTTCCGTCGAAAGCGTAGGGGAAGGCTTGAGGACTGCGCAGGCACGGCACGAGACCGGCACTGGCCGCGACACGCGGAGCATCACCAGCTACCGCGACCGCCTCCAGATGTACGCAGATCCCCCCGTCCCTCACGGAGCAGCACCAGGGGAGGACGAAGCCCCGTCTGAACGTTCCAGCACGACGGGAAGGACCACGCCCCATCCCCCTCCACCCAGTCCGGACACGACACCCAAGGCGTCGAGGGTATTGCCGAGATCTGCGCCCTCCGCGCATGAACCACCGCGCTCCATGGTGCCTCCTGACGATCGCCAAGAGGGTTCGTCGAGAAGCGGGAGGCACCACGCAGCCCAGCGCGGCACGCGAGGGAGCGGTGCATCGCGGGGTCGCCAGGGCGGCCGGAAGGGGGGCGACGTGCTATAGCATGTATCTCCAATGCGAAGGAGACCCCCGTCGACGTAGGAGTGACTCGTGGCAGATTTCATTGACGACCTCCACCCCTCCACTTGTAGACCCTGCTTCAAGTTGGCAATGGTTGCCCATTATAGACCTGGTCTTAAACTGACAATATTCTGATCGAGAAGGAGAGGCGAAGAGAGGGACAAAGAGACCGACGATCAGAGGCTCTGAAGGAACCGTCAGTGTATGTCAGTTGTAGCAGCTTGAGTTATGGCAAATGTCCCGGAAATCCATGTCAATATAGCTTCTGTCGAAGTCTACGAAACGAACGCCCCGGCCGCGCAGTAGCGTTCCTGAAGTTTAAGCATGATATATTATCCCGCAGCGATGGGTTCTTTCAGGTGGCAATAATATCATTGCAGCATGCTAATATGGGGTGACCAGTCTGAGAGCCAGTCCAGCCTTCAGGAGATTGATACACGGTCAGTCAGTTGGATTGAACTGACGCCCCGCTCCTTCGCTCTCCAATCAAGCACAGGTACCCGCCCTCAGTCAGACTACGGGTTTCCCCCGCAGCTGGCCACTGCACCCTCTCACTACCTCGCGCCTCACGAGGACTAGCTGGAGCAGCCTGAGGGTGAGCAATGGCATGACTCATAGACTAAGTATCTGCTCTCGCGCATCGCGCCTCCCCAGGGTGAGGTAGTGTATCATTTTTATGGAGCGCGGCACTGGTGGTATACGTAGCTACTCGCAATCGACGACAGCAAGAACGTACGAGGGAACTAATGACATTGAAGCGTTGCCTGCATCTTTCTGAATAGCATGGGTCCTACATATCCGAGTCGACCGGGTTTTTTGACGGCGTACGTGGGTACAAGCGGACGGCTACCTTTGGGTACTAGTAGGCAATGGCAGGTCCGCAGGAGGGATGACCGGGGAGCTGAGAATGGGCCGGGGTTGTACGTCGTCGTGTGTGTTAGGAGTCATCGGAAGACCGCCGACGATAGCGTTCGACTCAGATGCATTAGTGGTGCAGAAGCTGAAAGGTAGATCATGTCTCATGGCCGAGATGATACAGATACAGATGAGGAGTACGTCCATACTGGCATATGTACCGTAATCAACGAAAAGAGGGGTGGAAACGAGGGGCATGAAATCACCGAGCAAGCACTTCCTTCAGAGAGCGTGCGCGAGACACGTCGAGGCTCTCAAAGATAATATCATCACGCGTCCTAACTCCCGTGGCGATGCCCCCAGGCGGGCGTATGGCAAGCAGCTGATGCACGCCCTGGACTTGGTGATGACCATAGTGGATGTCGACTTCTACATACCTGAGCGATGACAGACCCATGCCGACAGCGTAGCGAATGCTTGTCATCACGCTGTGCAGGAGGTCATCGTTGGTGTGGTATGTAGGGCTAGGGAATCGAAGAGACATGTATGTGATTTGCGTGCCCCGCAGCGCGATACACAGCCCTGCCTGCGTGATGGTACCATTCAGCGTCACCCACTGTGATGGATAATCACAGGAAAACGACTCACAAGCGCCCCATTCAGCTCAGCAGGGTTTCCGGAGTTCCCAAAGTCTAAGGCCATGTACTCAAGCTCGGGCGCAGCTGCCCAAAGTGCTGGTTCACACAGTGGCGCAAAACGGTGGTCTTGGAGGGACAGTGCGATGTACCTCGGGCGCGCAG